GCTAGAGTCTGGAACCAGCTTCCAAGTGAGGTGGTGCAGGCTCCCACCCTGGGGGTTTTTAAGAGGAGGTTGGATGACCACCTTATTGGGGTCATTTGACCCCAGTGCTCTTCCTGCCATGGCAGGGGTTTGGACTAGATGATCTGCTCAGGTCCCTTCCGACCCTAGAAACTATGAAACTATGAAGAGCATGTCCCCTAGTTGGCCGCTCCAGCACTTGTACCAGGAAGTTGAAAGGGAGATACAGTTTTGCTGAAAATGATCTTTGCTGAAAAAAAATCATTTTCTGAGAGTAACTCTCTGGGTACACGTACCTTCATCAGTATCCTATCCTGTTATTAACATAAAGGCTGAGGAATAGGCAAAAGTAATAGAAGCTGCTTCATCGTCTTCTGCTCTTGTGCTTAAATTCACAGATTCACAGAAGTTTAGGGCTGGAAGGGACCTGGTGAGATCATCGGGTCCAGCCCCCCTGCTCTGGACAGGAAAGACTGTTGGGGTCAAATAACTCCAGCAAGGGAAGCGTCCAGTCTCCTTCTGAAAGTATTCTCAGGTAATATCTTAAAAGCAATTTCCATATTATTTTGAATACGTTAGGTTCTAGTATTTTCAGTTTGGGCACATTTCTTTTGCACTGCATGTTTATTATATTGATTTGGGGGAAAAAAATCAATGACAACATTGAGAAAAATACAACCTACTCAGTTTGACCTTCTAATCACTCTTTGCATTATTAACCTAAGGGAAAAGACAGATAAAAATGTTTTCTATTGAGCTTTCCATGCAGAGTAGCGAGAGAAGTATCTTAGGCTATTTACAAGCTTGCACCAGTTATAATTTAAAGTATTGTTTGAATGAAAGGTTAAACCCCCCCATGAACATTTCCAGACATTCTTAGATGAAAACATTTAAGTGAAAAATTTGACATCTGATATAAAAAGAGTTTTTGACAGGTCAACAGTTTCCATCTGAAATAAAGTGTTTTGTTCAGAGTCCAAAAGTTAACTGAACTCTGTAGTTCCTGCAAAACGGCTTGAAATAAAGAGGCAATGATTTTTTGCGGGTGGCATCTCTTACGGGACCAACTGGACACCAGGTGCCCTTCCTTGGGGCAGGGGACCTGGTGCCAGCAGGGCTGCCCTGGCCTCCAAAGCTTGTCCAACGTTTCTTCTAACGATACAGCGGGTCCAATAAAAGATCCCACCCCCAAACACTGCTGCATATTCCCTAGCCCACCCTACAGCATCCCTCCCTCACAGCCTTAAAAAACGTCATTTTTGATTGGGGGGAAAAATGTTGGAAGATTTTGACTCGCTTTGGGCGCTGCCATTTGTCACCGATGTTCGTCGAGGTCCCTGCAGGCGCAGAGCGAGGAGGAAAGCGGAGGCAGGAGCCGGCTGTGGAGGGTCCCGCTCCCCCAGGCCTCGTGCACTCCCCTCAGGGCCGCGATGCCGAGGCCCGGCAGTGGCCCCGCCCCCAGGTGCGCGGGGCGGGGGCGGGGCTGCAGCGAGCCACCCCCTGTCCTCGTCCTCCCTGCGGGGGCGGGCCGGGCCGGC